CAATGCAGGTGTTTTAAGTTAATTATCTTTTTTTTAAATAAAATAACTTTCTGGGACAGTGAAGTTTGGGGGTTTTCTTATCTCTAAGCCAGATTTTATAGAAATACTAGAATTGATGGCTGTGTGTTTGATGATATGATATTTAACCAGCCTTTTCTGAAATGAGGGACAGAAACTAATGAACCTTTTCCTGGTTTTACATGTAGTCCAAGTCTTACAGTGTGTATTACTTCATTAAACAACAAATATAAAGGCAAAAATAAATTGTATTTATAAAAATGGGCATAATATAGCTACAAGCTATATGTTAAAGCAATGTAATGTAAAAGTGCATTCCACTGTATATTAAGTTTATGATTACACTTTGTTGTGGCGTTTGCAGAATGGTCAAGCCTTATCGTCTGTCTCTGAGGAATTTGAATGTGCAAAGAATTGTGGGAGATCTGTTTTGAGAAAAAAAAACCGGAAGATTATTCAAAGCCATGATAAAGTAGTGGTACGTTTTTAAACCTAACAAAAGATATTATTTGCAAAGTGATGAAAGTAAATAACTGATTCAGAAAGGGAACTACAATCTTGAACCCTTAAACTTCGATGGAAACTGTCTGGAATATTAAAACTTGTTTTGTCTGTCACAGTAGGAAAGAAAACATTCTCCCTGTGGGATCTGCATTCACAGCTTGAAATGCTTAAGGTTTGCCAGAGAAGAAGACGCAACATGATGCAAACAGCATGCTAAGAGAATAAGAGTGTTTTATTTAAAGCCCACTGAGGATGTTGGATGCGACTACCACGTTAGTAATGATGATTTATGCTAATATGTGTACTACTTGTGTGAGAGTAGCATGCAAACCAGCCGAAAGGAGGATACAACAACTGTTATCAGTTAGGATTGTTGATCCCAATACTGGATGGTGACTGAAGGAGCAGCAGAAATTCGCAATCAGGTGGAGAATTTGTTGCTAGGATATCTGTAAATCACACACTTCACAAATCAGATCTTTAGATAAAAAATAACAAAACCAAACAAGAAAGCAACTAGTAAAAAGTCTGATATACAGTTTGTGACAAATTGTGTGATCGACACCGTCAATAAGGTCCTTTTGCAAGAGAAAAGCACATCTGAATGTGTGTGTGATGGGAAACAGTTTCTAACACGCACATCAACACATAGGCTTAAGGTGGTAGCAACATCTTGATATGGGCAGTTTGGGTTAGTTAGAAATAACCGGCAGGTTGATGGATGTAAACAGAAGTTTCCAAATACATTAGGCTGAGGAGACTATTATACAGATACAGTCAAAGCCAAATTGAAATGATTTTAGAGGTATTGTGAATTATTTTTTGCACATTTTTAAAAAGACCCACGCTCTCCACTTTAAATAAAAATGCACATGCACAACCCTGTACCCGCTCCCAAGATAGCACGCCTATTAAGCGCGTGCGAGGGCATGCACAGATCAATTTCTCCTCATGCACGCTCTGTTTAAAAGTTGCTGTTTGCATCGCTCATACAAGCTTACTTTCCAAAAGAATATTTGCAATTCTCCACTATGTCAGACGAAAATGAGGACGAGCACATAGGGCAGTCTTACGTAAACATGTCACCAGAATGATTGACAATTACCTAGACCACTTATTTTGACTATCCACCAGGAAAAAGAACATCCTCCACTATACCTTTAAATCTGATATATTATTGTTTTAAAATGGCCCCCATCTAAGATCTGCACAGGACTGATTTATGAAATTCTCCTCCCTCTGAATTTCTGATCATTACCAGCCAAACTCACAGCTACCTCTTTCATTCATTCACTGTATAATTTAATAAAGATATACCTACTGAATGTTTTATTGCAGGTGAACAAGAGCAGAAAAAAATCAAATATATTGACCAAAATTCTATCTGTCTGTCTGTTTGCCTGCCCCTCTGAATGATATATCTAAGAATGTTTATATTTTTAAAGCAGAATTTGGTTGCTGAACTTGTGGCATGGTTAAAAACACAGATATATGAAAGTATAACAGTGAATAAAGGAACACCTGTCTTACTTGGCATCATGATGCAGAGAGATTATATAGCTGAGAGACGTTAGGGTTAGTCTACTGCAGGTGTCTTCTAAAATACATAGACAGTCAATGCTTGCTCTGATGACCCACTTAACTCACATTTGAAATGAATCTCATAAGCTTTGAAAGGGTAGAACGACATTTATGTGAATTTCACATCCTTTTTAGGACTTGATTGTCTATTAATCAGGTATTTTGGTGTTTTTTCAGCTCTGATATCAATGGACTTTTGATTGGACTTTCAGTTGAATAATGAATCTTTTTCCCACTTACTGTAGAAAAACATGTGGCTTTTTGTCCAGTGGTGTTCAATTAGTTAAATTTACACCAAAGATCATGGTCTGAATTTGCTTCTTTGAATAAAACCTGCTGTATTTTGATTTATAAGGAGATTTAATTATGAAAGATATTTCTTTGTAATGTTATCTTCATTAAACAGTCTAAGTTCTTTCCAATTTCCAACATCATGTGACCAAATGTCTATTTTAAACCACCTGTTTCCGCCTGCAGTGACCTAATACCTGTCTGACTGCTCTTGTAAGATTTGTGTTTTGTTCCTGGGGATCCAAATCCCAATACAGGCCACTAGACCAGACCTAAATCTGATCAAGAGTCTGCAGATAAATATCCTTTTTTCACTCTGACTGAGCTTTAGCTATTTTGCAAAGAAGAATGGACAAAGTAGACTCAGGTGAAATAAATTTGCACAGCATTTTCCAGGTTTTCTGATTCTGATTGATTCTTAATCAAGAATAAACGATTTCTATGACCTTGTATATTTTTCCTCCCATAACACAATCATGTTTTGTTTTATTTAATACAATGACAATTAAACAAAATGAGGTTTGATGTTGTAATTGTATTATTTCTGAATACAAAACGGAACGTTAGTCAGAAAAATTGTGACATCTTTAATTTTATTGGGGATAAAAGTGAAACGGAACAAACACTTTATGGAAAAGGCTGCTAGATTTGAAATGGTTTTGTATTTTACACTTTAAGAATTAAAGATTTGCTGTGTATCGTGGTTGGAAATAGTTATGGGGTGGCAGAGAAGAGCTTGTTGAAGACACAACATGATGTTAGCAGTATGCTATGGGAATTAGAGTGTTTTATTACAAGCCCACTGAGAATGCTGGATGAGACTACCCAGATAGTTTAATGATTTATGCTAATATCTGCACCACATGTGTAAGTAAGCATAGGCAATAGAAATAAACAAGTTGAGATTAGCCAGGACCTAAAATGGACATTGCAGAAGTATTGATACTCCATATATGTTTTGTTGATGAACATGTAGCATAACAAATACCAAGAAACAAAGTAGAAAGGTCAGGAATAAAGGTGTGGGGGACATTTAAGGTGGTAGAAACATTGAAGCTAGTTAGAGATTGATTGGAAGATGGGTGAAGCTGGATAGAGGGAGAACCTGGAAAGAAACCATGTTAGAGGCAGCAGAGGTCTTAGGAGAGATTAAAGCATCACGTTTCACCATGGAAACCACCTAAACAATAAGCTAGACTTAAAATAGGATTTATCTGTCATATTGGTGTAGTTATTTCCAAACCTAAATCCAAATCAGGTTTTGTGGCAAGACTTGGAAACGGATGTTCACAAATGCTCTCCAAAGGGTGAATTGTCATCTGACGACTCGAACCTTGAAGACTTATTATTCAGATTTTGTCAAATGTAAAGTGGAATTCCTGAACATTTACAGGAAAGGGTCATGGAAGAGATCATATGCAGTAACAAATATTAGAGTTTTCTAGACTTACACGTCGGCAAGCTTAAACTATTCATTGTGTGGTTTTTAGACTTTACTCTGGAGCCAAAGGGCGATACACCTTCTGTAATGCAAACAGACAGGAGGATGTACTTCCTCTTCTTCAACCACCTGAAGCATCATCACCCTCCATATCCTTCCATTTTCCACAGTGTTGTGTTAAAAAAATCAAATTTCTGAACAGTGTTCTTTGAAGTTCCAGTGGGACTCCTGTGGGCTCTTCCAAGTTGAAACAGGTAGAACCGACGGTTCTCTTATGGGGTTTTCCCTCTTGCATCCTTTGGGCTCATTCCTCCACTCCCTCCTTCTTTGCTTTCTCTTCCTCTTCCCCGACTGTGATGTCCTTGAGGACCAGCTGAGCTCCCATAAAGCCTGCAGTAAATGGCTCTAATCCGGTAATAAATGGCTGTGTCCTACAGACAAGGGTGTGAGGCTGCTGTGGCCGTGGGTTTTATCAGATGGGATGGTTTGGCCACACAAACACACACACATTGGAGAAATACACAAACATTCACAGATGTAACAGAAGCTGCATTCCATAATAGTAGGCCTATACACCCCAACCTCCACCTCGATATTGTTTCCTTCTCTCAGGCACACATGCAGACTCATTTATATACCTTCAGATGGAATCACACCATCTCAGATTGTGCAGCTTTTATAGATGCTATGCAACAGCAGCACCATTATTACCTTTAAATGATTAGAGATGCGACTGTGATGCATTATGATGATAGCATCGTATAGAGCTGTTCCACCTCTCTTTATACCGGCTGGGGAAGACTGTAACAGAAAGGAGCAGGGAGAGACACAATTGGAAGAATAGTAATGTGACCTTTTGAGATAGTTGGGGTTCAGCTGTTTTTAATCAACAAATACAATTGATTTTTATCTCTCCTGGTTTTATTTGTGTACCACTGTAGTGACATAGCCCTCTGAGGCTGGATTGGGTATGTGTGTGAGTGTGGAAGATGGGTGGGGGGCGCCTTACAACTTCCTCACTCCTTGTTGAGTAGTAACCCTGAGCAGGGCTTTCATTTTCCTGTCATAACATATATTGATTTTTTCCCCCCTGTGTGAGATGTAGCTGCACACGTGTAGCTGTTTGTGCTCCTAGCGTTGGAATTTTGGCTGTGTCTCCCTTCAGGTGGAGCTGACCGGCAGCAGTGTGTTTGACTACATCCACCCGGCGGACCACGTGGAGATGGCCGAGCGGCTGGGAATCAAACCACATCTGCGGGCTGAGGCTGGCTGCCACACGGCCCCTGACAGCGCTTCCAGCACCGCCTCCACCTCTTCACTTGCCGGTACCCCTGAACCTGGTACTTTTTGTCTTGTAATAAGCCCCTAATTTCTAATTTCAAGGTCTGCCCATTAAAAAGTAAAATAATAATAATTAAACAGAATCAGCAGAGATAGTAGTTTTGTTTTGTTTTTTTCTCATTACTTATTTGAATCTTTATTATTATCTTTACAGCAGGTCCCTCTAGTCCTCATTTTACTGCTGACGATCCTCCAGAACGTGGGTTTTTCATCCGCATGAAGTCCACACTCACCAAAAGAGGCCTGCATGTCAAGTCCTCAGGATACAAGGTATTTAAAAGTAGCTTTCCATAAACTAAAAATATATCTTAAACAGCATCAGGCAGAAGTTACATTGATTTTTTGTATTTTTTTTTATAATACTCCTATGCCTTTAAGTTATATTAATTATGTCATAGAAAGTGCTCCAGGGTAGAGAGTTTTCCAAAGATCAGGCTTTCAGTGGCTAATAGTGATTATTTCAGTTTTGCTGCTGTCTGCCAATTCCAGTTTGTACCTTTTCCAAAGTTATTAAATAATTCTATAATTTATGTTTTTAATTGACTGTAACTTTTACTTATTAAAGCATAATGCATTAAAGAAGACCGGAACTAAACATAACTCTCAACTTTATCTATTGTGTAAGAAGCTAAAATGAATTAATCAAAGCACATTTCATTGGTTAATGTTTGGTTTTAGTGTAAATCTGTAAAAAAAAAAGATCTGACCTCTCACTGTTTCAACCTGCTGATTAAAGGAAAAATATGCAGATTTTGATCTCTGGATATTTCTTTCTTTTCTTCAATATAATTTTATTCAGCTATGACAAAGAAAAGTGGCTATGGATATTTTTTTAACTCGCCAATCTGCTCCAATATTTCTACCTGTTATTTTATCCCTTCATATTCGCTGATTGTTCACATGAACAAATAATTTCTCACCCAGCTACTTAAGCGTTGTAAAAAATGCAATGGCAGTCATAAAATAAGTGAACATATCATGCATGATTTGAATTTTCAGAAACCTGTGTTTGTTTCAAGCCACAAAATAACCAGGAATTATAAAGCCCTGTATTATGAACACAAATAAAGTCCTTCTTGTTGGAATCCATGGTTGGTTGCACATATCTTGCCACAGTTCGAATTCAGCAATGACAAAGTTAATATTAGAACGTTCTAAAAAGATAAAGGGAGAGTAACGCAATGCTGCCCCCCCCCTACATATTGCTTCACATAGCAGATCTGCTGGCTAATGTAAGGTTAGGTTTAAACTTTTTCCCAGCATATAAGAATTGCAAATTCAGCCATTTGGGAATATCTACAGTGGCAAAATAAATAAATAAAATAAAATACTAACAGTCATTATGTGAAAAAAATATATAAAAGCAGCACCTATCAACCTTATTAAGATGACACTGGTTTTAAAACTGCTAGCTGCCAACTCTAGGCTCATTACAAAAATAATCAACTTTTCATTAAATATGTAACTCTAACGATCAGTAAGTCCCAATATCTTAACATCAGTAAGAATAATAATTGTATTGTTTTTTGTATTACATCAATATCATGAGATATTCTTGCACATTTTGAAGTATTTGTGCACATGTTGCGAAACTGTGAACTAGTTGTACTACTATAGTACTCATTACAGTATTGCATCACTAAACACTGACATGCATTTTTATGTTTTTATGTTTTCAGTGGAGTAGAGCATGAAGTGTGTAGAGTTCTTTTTGTGTTTTACTGCAGTTTTGTTGTATGGCTGTGACCTTATCATGCACTGAGCTGCCTTATGTCACAAAGATTGCTGCTCTTAGTGCTGTGATGTTAGAGTAGCTCTAATCTTGTTTTGTTATTTTTTTTTACTGTACTCACCCTGTTCCATTACTCGGTTCAAGTTCCGCCTGGATGTATTGATGCATTAGTTTGCTGTCCTGTCTAGCTTCGTATTTAGGGTACCTACTTTACTTGTCAGGTAATCCACGTAACGGGACGAATACGTTGCCGCCCTGCCCTTGTCCCTGGCTCTACACGCTCTGTCCGTCGTCCAATGGGGTTGGTTGCTCTCGCCCACACGCTCCCGCCCTCCACGCTTAACGAAGTCCGTATGGAAAGCAACATGTTTGTCTTCCGAGTGAACATGGACCTGCAGGTCACATATTGTGAAAACAGGTGACTTATTTTACTATTATCATTTTGTACCGACAATAAGTTGTCAGCGCACATTTCCTTTTTTCACCATGTAAATATTTGTTTTTGTGGTTTTTCTGGAGTGCTCCCACATTCATGTTTTTTCATGAGCAGCTGGCAGAATCCCAGGCCAGCTGGTGGTTTTTGGAAAATGCATCTGCTTCTGTTTAGTTGACAAATTACTTTTTTCCCCCCCTTGCATTGCTTCACAGAATCTCAGAGTATATGGATCTGACTCCTGCGGAAGTGGTGGGACATACATGCTATCATTTTGTACATGTGGAAGACCTGGAAAATATCCGGCAGAGCCATGAGGACCGTGAGTTGCACACAAATCCATATGTTGACAGTCTCATTGTGGGATATAAGGAATACTGCATAGTATGTTATAGGCGTGAGTTGTCTTGTTGTGCTAGGCGCCCTCTGCTGCCATAATCTTAAACTACCAAATTAACCAACTTCTCTGCTTTCTCGCTGTCAGTGCTGAGAAAAGGCCAAGTGGTGACAGGCTACTATCGTTGGCTGCAGAGGAGAGGAGGTTACTTGTGGATCCAGTCCACTGCCACTGTCTCCATCAATCACAAAGCCCCCCATGAGCGCAATGTCATCTGGGTGAACTACGTCCTGAGGTCAGTCCAGCAGCTGCACATCCGCAGGCTGTTCTCAAATAAACCTGTTTTAATATGCGGACTGAATTCTGCCTGTGTGCAGAAATCTTTTCATGGGGACAGGTGATGCAACATGGAGGGATTATTGGTGGAGATTTGGACGTTACTGAGAAAGTACAGACTTCAAAGTATTCACAGCATTTTGAGCTTGTTAATTCTGACAGCCTTGACACAAACTATTATAACTCAGCGTAACTTAGATATATGAGTGCTTTCATTTTTAAAGATACCTGACAAGGAGAAGGAGAAAGGGCAAAGAGTGGGGGAAACCAGAATAACAGCCATCAGGGAGAGCGAAAAAAGTTTCCTTTATTTTCTCTTTAGTCCAGAGAATATTTTCCAAAGAATCTCGGGAATTATTAAGATGATACTTAATGTGAGAGTATCCCTTTTTTGCTTGTTCTAATTTTTACCTTGGACCTCCTAGCTTCTCTGTCCAGGCTGTCATTTTTGTTGTTTAACCATGAACACAGGCCTCCAGTGGCAGGTTATTGGTTCCTTTTAACTGTCAAGAAGGTTCACCATTGTTCAATATTTTCTCTAGAGGCTCTTGCTGGAGTCCAAACGCCTTAGAAAAGCCTTTTCAATCCTTCTTAAACTGCTAAATGTCATCGATTTTGTTTCTCATCAGTTCTAGATTTCTTTTGTCTTTAGGCTGGGGCATATTGGATTGCGGCATGTTGGATTGGGGCATGTTGGATTGGGGCATGTTGGGTTGGGGCATGTCGGATTGGGGCATGTTGGGTTGGGGCATGTT